ATCACGGAAAAAGACGTCAATAATGTCGCACTGCTCCTTCGGCAGAGGCCATTGGCGTGTTACGCAGTATTTGGTTCCCGGAACCAGGTCGATTTCATGACGCACATCTTGGTCCGGAGGTAGGGCCGAAGGCGGGTCTTTGGAGACGACGCTTTAAAATTCCTTTACCAAAGGATAGTACGAATTCAAAGGATTCCGAAGGACCGACGATTCACTTCGTGCATTCAGCACTCTCTTGGTGTCCTCCAAGACAGCTACATCCAGAAGCGAAGAAAAGTTTATCTCCTCGTCCGGTCGTTAAGAAAACACTTCGGCCAAATCGCCTTGCTTCAAGGCACTGCCGAACTCTTTAAGGGACATCTCGTTCAGCTCAAGAAGATCCTCTACTGCAGGCATAGCCTCGAGGCGGACGTCGCCATCTTTCTCCCCCGTCATACCACTGACGAGGGTGTATAACTGTGTGCCATAGTCAACGGTAGACACACCCTGGGTCAGTCGACGCCCGGCGTCTTGCAGTCAACATACGGCGTCGCCGTCCCCTCTGCACAGAGGTTCTGTGTCTCGGTGAGACCAGGATGAGCACGCACTCCGCGTCGTTCGGTGTCATCCTCACTGTCCGCTCCTTTGAAGCTTCGATGATATCTACGACATCCGACGAAGAGCTGCTAACCCCGCAGTCTTCGTCCAGCGCATAACGTGCCACTCCACGCGCATCTAGAGGGGCCGTGTCCAAGATGCCTCGGACTCTGTCCGACTACGCCATCAATGGCATGCAGCGACTGTTTTGCAACGAGAGCAGTGCTCAGTGGTCTACGTGCCACTTCACGTGCATCACGGGGGCCTCGACCTCGATGCCTCGGCCCTTAGCCGACCATTTCACGCATGACATGCAGCGACTGCTTCGATACTTGAGCAGCGCTCAGTAGATTACATGACACTTCACATGCATTACGGGGGCCTCGCCCTCGATGCCTCTGCTTGTGACCGACCATGTCACGCATGACATGCAGCGACTGCTCCGAAACTTGAGCGGCCCCCAGTGGGTTACGTGCCACTCCACGATCAACCCGCGAGCCACGCTCGGGAAACCTGTCCGATACACCGTTGGTGTCTACCAACTCGGATATATCAACTCCAGCACGTTGACCGTCTCGGTCCAGTGCTCTCTCCAATAGCACTTTTGTTTCCTAG